AACGCCTGTTGTATATTTTGAGTCTGCGCGTTTCTCTCTCTCTCTCCCCGTGGTCGCGTGGATTTTTCTCCGGGTCCTCCGGTTTCCCCTCCACGTTTTAAATCAACATCACGCGTTTATAGTTTTTGGCCGCTGTACGTTTCCACGCGATAAGCCACGTCGTTGAGTTATAATTTGTGGCCGGATCCCTTCTGAAAAAGAGCTGCATTGCTCCGTGGGCCTTACCTGGTAAAATAAAAATGAGTAGTAGCAGTTGACCTTTGCAGAGAGATGAGACGCAGAAAATGTCGAAAACGGTCCAGAGTCTGCCTGTGCCGAATCAATGCTGTGGAAATTGTGCATTCCCAGAAGGCCGTTGAGCTGATGGGTTGTGTACAAAATACTTTGATTTCTTATCTTATCTAGAATTCTATCTAGGGTTGTTTTTTTTGTCAAAGCGCTTTTCCAAGAATTATGAATGGTACATTAGTATTGGCTCGTGGGGAAAAGGGATGGGATTTGAGTGTTTGGGATGGGAAGGGATAGCAAGGGAGGGTGATGGTAGGAGATGGGAGGGCGAGGTTAGCAATGGGAATGGGAAGGGGGAGGATGGTGAAGGTTTTTAAGGACGAGGATAAAAGTAGTCGAGAGATCCGCTATTGAAAAAAATATTTGTTGGAATTGTATGAAGGATTGTCTGCTTGTCTACCCTGCAGAGTGAGGGGCTGGTGCAGCTGGGGCTGGCCAAAGCATTCGTCCTCCCGTGAGAAGCCGATGTCGCCTGTACGTTTTAGTCCTCGGTGTGATGGCGATACAGTTCAGGAGTTAAAGGCCTGTTGGCCACGATGGAGAGGGCTTCAGGAGAGAGAAGGAGTTTTGCTTTTCCTCTTCCTCCTTCCGGTCACTTGAATGTCCCCTCTGTGTTGCCATTCAAGCGTTGTCTCCACGTACGTACGTGTGCGTGTGTTCTCCGGTGGGGAGCGGTGGTGTAGTGGTTAGCGCGCTGCGCTACTCAAGGCCAAACACCCGATGACGATTATCCGAACCGTCCTGGGCCTCTGCTAGGTCGACTCGGCCTCAAATGATAATAACCTGGTGGGGTGTGTAAACTCATCGCCACTGGGGAGACAAAGGCGGCCGGGCGTGGTGCTGGCCACCCCCACCCCCTCGTGTGTCGTGCCGGCCCTTCATAGGTGCTCGCTAACAGCACTTGCCCCTACAGTCTGTTAAGGCTATACGGGGGAGCTTTGTTCCGCAGGCACTTTGGTTTCCCTCCCACCGTGCAAGCCACTGCATGGATTGAAATTGGTCAAACATCTCGATGCATCTGAAACAAACTGAAAACATATTGTCACTCAGCAATGCTTTAAAGCCGACGTGAATAATAATATCCATACGTTGCTCTGAGCATGGCATAGACGCCTGGTGGACTTCATTGATATCCAGAGTGATCCAGATGTCTTGTGACCCCCCCCCCCCACCAATTAATCGACCCCTAAGATGATTTTTCTCCATTGCATATTCATTGGCCTGTTTGAAATAAAACCTTTACTTTAAAGAAAATAATAATTAGGGATGAGAGACTGAAACGTGATGGTGACACACAAAGAAAGACATTGCGGGCCACCCTGGTACAGCCAGCCACTGCCTTGCTGGGCATTTGATCCGTTTTAGTTGCGAGCTCGATACGTCAAACTCTCGTTTTACACCGCTTCACAAATTGTGCTTTGGTTTAGCCCTGGGGGGTGTGGGGTGAAGGAGGGGGGGGGGGTGCCCCCCTCCTTTGTGTTGACTGCATTCCCTCTGGCTCTGGTGGCTTCTTTGGCTTCCTCATTTTAAACGGCCTCGTTCACAGCACCCGAGGCACACAACTAAAGGGTGCAGGGAGGAAGCTGACCACCAAACGTGGAACCCCCTTCCCTACATCCTCCTCCAGTGGGACATTCATTCTCAAGGGCATTCATGAGGGCATTTAGGCACTACCCCCCCCCCCCCCCACTCACCCACCCCCCTCCCTTGTTTTTTCCTCCAGGGGTATCGGAGCTTAGGAAGACGCAAGGGGCTTGGAGAGTTTATTGAAACGCGCGGTTTAGACGCGTCTCCATCGCGCTGCAATCCACAGTGCGTCTGTGCGTGTGGCAGCCTCCTTTCGTATCCTCTCAGTGCCGGGTACCCGGAGTCGGACTTGCTCACGAAATAACTTTTTGAAGAGAGAGAGAAAATGACCTCATTCGGCCCAGAACCTGTTCAGGTGGCCCCTGGCAGGAGTGGGTTGGCATCTTTCTTGTGGGGGGGGGGGGGGGGGGTGAATTGGAGTGTGTGTGTGTGTGTGCACACTGTGTTTGTGTGTTTTCTTCGCTGTGGGGAGCGGTGGTGTAGCAGTTAGCGCTACGAACCCAACGACCCGGATTCGATTCTTGCTCACGGCCAGACACCCAATGACGATTATCTGGACCGGCCATGGGCCTCCCCTAGGTCGACTCGGCCTTAAATGAGTACCTGGTGTGGTGTGTAAACATCGCCACTGGGGAGACAAAGGCGGCCGGGCGTGGCGTTGGCCACCCACCCCCTCGCGTGCCGTGCCGGCCTTCATAGGTGCTCGCTAACAGCACTTGCCCCAACAGTCTGTTAAGGCTACACGGGGGGATCTTTGTTTTTGTTTTCTTCTCGGCCGCGGAGCTCAGAGAGTGGTCCCAGTTTGTGTTTTTTTTTATCTGTACCGCGTGCGTTGTCGTCGTCGTTCCGTAGAGCGGGGAGATCGATCGATGATCGATGTTCGAGGGGGGTGGATCGCCGCGCCGATGGGCACCCGTCGTGATTTTTCACCCAAACAGAGTTGGGCCGCTTCGTGAATGCTGCCATCTCCCACTCCAGAATCCCATCGGCGGCGTTTGACTTTTTTGGGGGGGCGGGGTGGCGGCAGGGGTTCGCTTCGTCCCTCACATGAATCGCGGGTGCATCGAATGAATGAATGTATGTTTCATCTTAATTGTACACTACTGAAAGTAAATTAATAAAGGTGTCTAGTTTGGGCAGGGTGGGGGGGTGCGTTGCGCTCCATGCGTGCCCCCCTCGCCCACTCCAACCAAACTTCAACCGTGCCAGAATCTGCACTGAGAGGTTCTCTCTGTGTGTGGGTTTGTGAAGATGGCCTTAAAACGCCAACTATTGGGTTTGTTCATGACAATTTAAAAAAAACGGGTGCTGTAGTTTTTTTTTTGTAAATCAGCCGTTGGCAAAAATAAATTAGCGGAAGGCAACGGCATAAGAAAACGAGCCATTCACGTTCTGATTTCGGAGGTGAGGCCACAGACAAAGACCCCCCGTATAACCTTAACAGACTGTTGGGGCAAGTGCCGTTAGCAAGTAGCACCTGTGGAGGCCAGAACGGCAGACGAAGGGGGTGGGTGGCCAGCACCACGCCCGGCCGCCTTTTTCTCCCTAGTGGCGACGTTTTTACGCACCGCACCAGCTACTCATTTGAGGCTGAGTCGACCTAGGGGAGGCCCAGGACTGGTTCAGATAATCGTCGCTGATATTGGCCGTGAGCGCGAATCGAACTCGGGTCACCGGGTTCGTAGCGCAGCGCGCTAACCGCTACACACTCCCGCTCCCCACAGACACACGCAGACAGACACACACACACGAGCAACGGAGCCAAACATAAATTGTATGAAAGACAAACCGGCCTTATAGAAGAAATCGTAAACTGCACAAACCTAAAATCAATGCCAAATAAACTTTATTAGCCCGTCAAGAAAGTTGGCTTGGGCAAATTAACTTTCAGTAACCATGCATAGTTGCAGTTCATTTGTAAAATCTGTCGTTGCTATGCGCACGCCGGGTTCAGGATAATAATCTTTCATTTCGACTGCAGGAGGAGGAATCCGATGAGCTGACGAAGCTGAAGTCTCCAGTCGGGACGTGTCGGCGAGTTACAGCAACAAACAATACAACAGCAAAATCCGATAGGGGTGCAAAGTGGAGAAAAAGGCAAAAAAGTCACTAAATATGAATTAAGTTGCTTATAAGCGTCCAATTTATCGAGCTCGGGCCAAGACGGCAAAAATATAACAACAGCAAAACAATCCCAGACCATGCTCTTTGGTTCTTTAGGTCAAGTCACGTAGGTATGAAATAAAATAAATCACGACGTTTCGGGCGCGACACAAGCGTCCGTCACCAGGTGGGAAAGCGTGGTCCGCTGGGTTCCTGCAGTCACGAAAGCTTCAAATCAAGATAGTCCCAGACCACACCAAGATACCACGCATAGTCGCCAGTCCCACAATGATAAAAGGTGAAGTCGCTGATTAAAACTGTTCAGTGGGGGGGGGGAGGAGGCGGGGGCTTAGGCAGGCGGTGGTTTAGGCAGGCGGCGTGAGTCACGGTCACAGAAAGGATCACGGACGGTGGTGATGAAGTAGCAGCCGAGAGGGGTGGAACGACGGGAAAAGTCGTCCGCCGGGGAGATGGAACGATTAAATCGGCTCGTTGCCGCAGGTTAAACTAATTTAAATATTTTATGTTACCAGGTTAAGGTCCACTGAGCTACATAGCTCTTTTCAAAATTTGACCTGGCCGTCACAAATGATCGCTCAACGAAGTGGCTTATCGCGTGGAAATTCATAGCAGCCAAATACTCTGAAAGCGCGATGTTCATTCTAAATGTGGAGGGAGACACCGGAGGACCCGGAGAAAAATCCACGCGACCACGGGGAGAGAGAGAGAGAAAACACACACACACACTCGAAATATACAGCAGGCGCCCGGGTCGGAATCAGAACCCATGAGCTCCCAGGTGGTCAAGCAATGTAACAGCGTCGGGAGCAGTGATGTGTTCAACTTTCCTTGACTTCACACTCCTATCGCGTTTTTTTGCACTCGTTGTTGTTGTACCTTTCTGAACTGCCCCCAACTGGAGATCAGTGAAAAAGAGCTGTATAGCTCATCGGATTGATCCTGATACTTTTTCTCTGTGACGACATAACCCAGAGCCTTGCCCTTCTCTCCGCTGTTTGCAGGAACCCCGGCCAAGCGGCGTCTCCCACCCAACCCTCGACTGAGCCCGGTCGCGCTCGGGGACCGCTCGCTCGCGAGAGCGTGGACAGGGACGCGTGCTGCTGCGTTCGGACTCTCGTCCGAATGGGAAAACTTACTTAAGGAACCCAATAAATTATTTGTGGACTCTTGAAACCCGTGTGTGCGTGTGTGTGCGTGCGTGTGCGTGTGTGCGCGTACGGAGCGGTGGCCTGGCGGGTTGGCGCGCTGTGCCACGAACCCGGCGACCCGAGTTCCGCTCCCGCTCACGGCCGACGCCAGCGACGGTTATCTGTGAATGGTCCTGGACACCGCCTCTCCTCGTTCGATGTTGCCCCAAATGAGTGTGGTGGGTCCCGACATCGCCAGGGAAGACACATGGGGCTCGGTGCTGGCCACGCACTCCCTCGTGCGCAATGCCGGACTTCTTAGGTGCTCGCCAATAGCTCGTAACACTCGTAACGCTAGTAACACTCGTAACGCTAGTAACACTCGTAATGCTAGTAACACTCGTAACGCTAGTAACACTCGTAACGCTAGTAACACTCGTAACGCTAGTAACACTCGTAACGCTAGTAACACTCGTAACGCTAGTAACACTCGTAACGCTAGTAACACTCGTAACGCTAGTAACACTCGTAACGCTAGTAACACTCGTAACGCTAGTAACACTCGTAACGCTAGTAACACTTAGTAACGCTAGTAACACTCGTAACGCTAGTAACACTCGTAACACTCGTAACGCTAGTAACACTCGTAACGCTAGTAACACTCGTAACGCTAGTAACACTCGTAACGCTAGTAACACTCGTAACGCTAGTAACACTCGTAACACTCGTAACGCTAGTAACACTCGTAACGCTAGTAACACTCATAACGCTAGTAACACTCATAACGCTATTAACACTCATAACGCTACTAACACTCATAACGCTACTAACACTCATAACGCTAGTAACACTCATAACGCAAGTAACACTCATAACGCTCGTAACACTCGTAACGCTAGTAACACTCGTAACGCTAGTAACACTCATAACGCTAGTAACACTCGTAACGCTAGTAACACTCGTAACGCTAGTAACACTCATAACGCTAGTAACACTCATAACGCTAGTAACACTCGTAACGCTAGTAACACTCATAACGCTAGTTACACTCGTAACGCTAGTAACACTCATAACGCTAGTAATACTCGTAACGCTAGTAACACTCGTAACGCTAGTAACACTCGTAACGCTAGTAACACTCATAACGCTAGTAACACTCGTAACGCTAGTAACACTCGTAACGCTCGTAACACTCGTAACGCTAGTAACACTCATAACGCTAGTAACACTCGTAACGCTAGTAGCACTCATAACGCTAGTAACACTCATAACGCTAGTAACACTCGTAACGCTAGTAACACTCATAACGCTAGTTACACTCGTAACGCTAGTAACACTCGTAACGCTAGTAACACTCATAACGCTAGTAACACTCATAACGCTAGTAACACTCGTAACGCTAGTAACACTCGTAACGCTAGTAACACTCGTAACGCTAGTAACACTCGTAACGCTAGTAACACTCGTAACGCTCGTAACACTCGTAACGCTAGTAACACTCGTAACGCTAGTAACACTCATAACGCTAGTAACACTCATAACGCTAGTTACACTCGTAACGCTAGTAACACTCGTAACGCTCGTAACACTCATAACGCTAGTAACACTCGTAACGCTAGTAACACTCGTAACGCTAGTTACACTCGTAACGCTAGTTACACTCGTAACGCTAGTTACGCTTAGTAATGCTAGTTACGTTCGTAACGCTAGTTAGGCTCATAACGCTAGTTAGGCTCGTAACGCTACTAACACTAGTTACGCTACTAACGCTAGTTACGCTACTAACGCTAGTAACGCTATTAACGCTACTAACGCTAGTTACGCTACTAACGCTAGTTACGCTAGTTATGCTAGTTACGCTACTAACGCTACTAACGCTAGTTATGCTACTAACGCTACTAACGCTAGTAACGCTAGTTACGTTACTAACGCTAGTTACACTACTAACGCTAGTTACACTAGTTATGCTACTAACGCTACTAACGCTAGTTACGCTACTAACGCTAGTTACGATGCTAACGCTACTCGCGCTACTAACGCTACTCACGCTACTAACGCTAGTTACGCTACTAACGCTAGTTACGCTAGTTACGCTAGTTACGCTAGTTATGCTAGTTACGCTCGCGCAGCCGGCCGTGCCAAAGGGGGAGGCTCTTCACGGCACAGCGAGCCCGCCGCCTCGGGACAGCTGCTGTGTCAAGCTGACGCGAATCGTTTTTGTCGTGTTGTACGTCTTACACCGGCCCATAATTGCACGGTCATTTTTCCAGAAGGCACTCATTAGACGCTGATCAGCTTGAGGTTTGTGTTTCACAGGCGGCTCCCAATTGTCCTCGTTTCGGGTCGGGCACAGCTGCCCGTTTGTGGCACATCGCCACCACCGCCACCACCACGCACGCTCCACTTGCACCGCCGCACGCCAGCCAGCCAGCCAAGACAGCAAAACTTTTTGTAATTGTAGTTGCTGATAATGTATGGTGGGAATTTAGAGAGTTACGTCAGCTTGATAATTAACAACAATAAAAATATTGGTTGTGCCCAGAGTGTTGCGGGGATGTAGTTTCATGAAGTAAAGTCTTCCGACGTGACGCGGGCAGCTCAGTTGGTCACCCTTCCCCCGCTCCTCCGATTAGCACGGTTGGCTACGTACGGTACGAAAGAAGTTCAACATACATACTGGCCATAGACTGACACTGCCCATAGAATAACACTGCCCATAGAATAACACTGCCCAGAAACTAAACGCTGCCCATAGACTCAGCACTGCCCATAGACTCAACACTGCCCATAGACTCAACACTGCCCATAGACTCAACACTACCCATAGACTCAACACTACCCATAGACAACACTACCCATAAACTCAACACTGCCCATAGACTCAGCACTGCACCTCCGATTATCACGGTTGGCCACGTACGGTGCGAAAGAAGTTCAACAGACACGCGTGCAATCAACATCTGAATGACGATGCAGACTCGGGTAATGTCGTGACTTTAGTTAGGGACTGCAGTCCGCTGAAGAAGACCAAAAATGGTGATTGGATATTTACGTGCATACTTTATTTTTATATTTTTGGCTGACCTCAATATTGTAGGGGATACAATTTGCGCGCTTCCAAACACAAACATTTACGTAACTAAGAGCGGACTTCGCATTTGACTTCTTTAGTCGACTAGGACAAGACTACATGAACACCACAGACTGAGACTAGAGTGTGTGTGAGTCTGTAGTGTGTCTATAGTGTATGTGTGTCTATAGTGTGTGTCTGTAGTGTGTGTGTCTATAGTGTGTGTGTGTCTATAGTGTGTGTCTATAGTGTGTGTATATAGTGTGTGTCTATAGTGTGTGTCTGTAGTGTGTCTATAGTGTGTGTGTCTATAGTGTGTGTCTGTAGTGTGTGTGTGTCTATAGTGTGTGTGTGTCTATAGTGTGTGTGTCTATAGTGTGTGTGTCTGTAGTGTGTCTATAGTGTGTGTGTGTCTATAGTGTGTGTGTCTATAGTGTGTGTGTCTGTAGTGTGTGTGTGTGTCTATAGTGTGTGTGTCTGTAGTGTGTGTGTGTCTATAGTGTGTCTATAGTGTGTGTGTCTATAGTGTCTATAGTGTGTATGTCTATAGTGTGTGTCTGTAGTGTGTGTCTATAGTGTGTGTGTCTATAGTGTGTGTCTATAGTGTGTGTCTGTAGTGTGTGTGTGTCTATAGTGTGTGTCTATAGTGTGTGTGTGTGTCTATAGTGTGTCTGTAGTGTGTGTCTATAGTGTGTGTGTGTGTCTATAGTGTGTCTGTAGTGTGTGTCTATAGTGTGTGTGTCTATAGTGTGTCTGTAGTGTGTGTCTATAGTGTGTGTCTGTAGTGTGTGTGTGTCTATAGTGTGTGTCTATAGTGTGTGTGTGTCTATAGTGTGTCTGTAGTGTGTGTCTATAGTGTGTGTGTCTATAGTGTGTCTATAGTGTGTGTCTGTAGTGTGTGTGTGTCTGTAGTGTGTGTGTCTATAGTGTGTCTATAGTGTGTGTGTGTCTATAGTGTGTCTGTAGTGTGTGTCTATAGTGTGTGTGTCTATAGTGTGTCTATAGTGTGTGTCTGTAGTGTGTGTCTATAGTGTGTGTGTCTATAGTGTGTGTGTGTAGTGTGTGTCTGTAGTGTGTCTATAGTGTGTGTGTCTATAGTGTGTGTCTGTAGTGTGTGTCTATAGTGTGTGTGTCTATAGTGTGTGTGTCTATAGTGTGTGTCTATAGTGTGTCTGTAGTGTGTGTCTATAGTGTGTGTGTCTATAGTGTGTCTATAGTGTGTGTCTGTAGTGTGTGTCTATAGTGTGTGTGTTTATAGTGTGTGTGTGTGTCTATAGTGTGTCTGTAGTGTGTGTCTATAGTGTGTGTGTCTATAGTGTGTGTGTCTATAGTGTGTGTGTCTATAGTGTGTCTGTAGTGTGTGTCTATAGTGTGTGTGTCTATAGTGTGTGTGTCTATAGTGTGTCTATAGTGTGTGTGTGTGTCTATAGTGTGTGTGTCTATAGTGTGTGTGTCTATAGTGTGTGTGTCTATAGTGTGTCTGTAGTTTGTGTCTATAGTGTGTGTGTCTATAGTGTGTGTCTATAGTGTGTCTGTAGTGTGTGTCTATAGTGTGTGTGTCTATAGTGTGTCTATAGTGTGTCTATAGTGTGTGTGTCTATAGTGTGTGTGTCTATAGTGTGTCTGTAGTGTGTGTCTATAGTGTGTGTGTCTATAGTGTGTGTGTCTATAGTGTGTCTGTAGTGTGTGTCTATAGTGTGTGTGTCTATAGTGTGTCTGTAGTGTGTGTCTATAGTGTGTGTGTCTATAGTGTGTGTCTATAGTGTGTGTCTGTAGTGTGTGTGTGTGTCTATAGTGTGTGTCTGTAGTGTGTGTCTATAGTGTGTGTGTCTATAGTGTGTGTCTATAGTGTGTGTCTATAGTGTGTGTCTGTAGTGTGTCTGTAGTGTGT